TGAAGTCTTAAACAAGAATCTGTTGAATTGGAGCATAGCAGAAGAGAACACACTTTATTAGTTTGGCAGGATGCTCAGAGAGGACTTCCCTAGGATGACATTCAAGTTAACACCTAAAAGAGACGTGTGATAACCCTGATGGTAGGAAGGAGTTCAAGGGCACAGAGATGGATAGTGGCCAGATCATTTGGGGCCTTGCAGGGTACAGCAAGGAGGGTGAGCTTTGTTCAGAATTCAATGGGGAAGCCAATGAAGGGTTTCAGGCAAGAAGATGGTGTGATCCTTCATCTATCTTAAGATGATCATGCTTTGTTGCTATGTGTAGAATAAAGAGTAGAGGTGGAGTGCTTGAGTAAGAATCTGTTGCAGCAATGTAGATGAGAAACTATGGGAGCCTGGGGGAAGAAGCTGGACACAGGAGGAGGAATAATCCTAGAAACATGGAGTCACACATGCATGAATTTAACTGACTCTGCTGACTCCAAATCCTTCCCATATCCAACCTCATTAAAAATGGGACTGACTCCTCTTAAGAGAGGAAGATGGCAGTTGCTCTGTGGGGTCACAAAAGGAAATGCCAACTGGAAGCAGTCACCGGGTTCTTCCCTATAATTTCTCAAACATGGTAGGATGTGTGTCTTATTAAACAAAATTTAGATTCAAATCCAAACATCACTGAATAACCACCAACTGTCAGACTGTGTTCTAGAAGCTTTCACATATACCCTATTTCACCTGCTATGACTGAAAATAAAGCCATGCTTAAGTTACCACATAAATAAAGGAAATTTGATTTACGAGAAACCCATTCATTATTCTCTGAGCGCTCCCTTCCTTGGAAAGTAAGACCCCTTGCATGCATACTTTGTCCAAATGAGTCAGTCTTGTTTACTTCTGTTATGCTGAAAAAAAAAAATCGAGAAGTCTGATCTGACTGCCTAAGTTTCTCACTTCTGTTTTTGTGAGGCTGGTACAGAAAACAGTACAACCAGCTGTCACACCTAAGGACCTCCAGCCACTGCACAGACCCAATTACAACTCAAGTGACAAATATTTTCATGTACAGAAAAACAACCATTTTTCTTAAGGAGCCCCAGGGTCCAAGATGGTGAGTGAGAACAGGATATAACACCATTACTTTGCTCTCGATTGACCTTCCCCTAAGATCAGACAGGCCCTGGCATTGGCCTGGCTTTCCAGCCCAGCCCTTTCCCTCCACCTCTACCAACACTATCACCATTATGGTGGATTTCTTCTTGAGGGCCATTATTGTCCATTTCTAACACTTAGCTTATTCTGAACCATCCCAGCACATCAAAAGGGTTACCATAACTTGAAACACCAAAGGGAAAGAGCCAGGATTTCTGACTGATTAGGGAAATCCTTAGTCCCTTTGTTAAGATTTACAAGAAGAGAATATCTGTTTTGGACATTTAAATCTATGCAGTGGCTCTTTAAAATAGCAGGTGGAAACTCTGGGTGTCAAGTTCAAAAGCAGCGGATGAGCTTAAGATTTGGCGGTGATGGCTGTCTTGGTAGTTGAGTCACAAGTGAGGATGTGACTGAATGCGGAGAAGATCTGAGGAACTGGACGTATAGTACAGTTTGAGAAGCAAGCCCGCCAAGGAAGCTGAGAAGGAGCTCTTAGGGTGGTAGAAAGATACAAATGTGTCATGGACCCCAACAGGAGAAAAGATTTCAAGAAGGAATTTGTTCTACAGCATCCAAGATAACAGAGGTCAAGAAGCCAAGGACTGAAGTCAGGTTATGAATTTCTCGGATATATAAAACTTATTCAGGTCTGTTTTGGCATGTTATTGATCAAGGTTATATGATCGGATTACATTCCTTTTCAACAATTTGTGCTTGGAGTTGTATAATTAGACTTTTATCAGCACAGTACTGACAATCACCTGCTAAGTAGTAATGGGTATAATGAAGGTCATTTCATCACATCTTACTCTGCTGATTTTACCAGAAGTGAAAAAGCTACTTTCCACTTAAAATATTCTGTTTTGGTTTTGCCACTTTTCTATGGCACTGCCCTGTACAGCATGGGTTCTTCTGAGTTCGGTATATCTATTCACATATCAGATAATGACCCAATTCTCCCACACTTTTTCCCAGAATACTATGAAAACATTTTGAACAACATGATAGGACATAGTCTGGTCTCTACATAGCTTGGGCATATCATTTATATATTTAGTTCACTTCTTTTCTCTTGAGTCTGACATTATTAAAGTACTTCTTGTTGGACCCAATGTGATGATAAGCAGAAATACAAATGCACATGATTCCAAGTGTCAATTTCAGAATATGCTTACATTAAAATTTCTAGGTTCACTGAACTGAAAACACAAAAATTCAAAATCCTCCTGGAGACCAGGTGACTCCTGGTTCAGAAACACGGCCAGGGAGATTATGCCCAATCAATGGACACTCCTCCTTTCATGCCTAGACTATTTTTGATTTCTGTCTTTAAGGGAAGAAGGCTTGAGTGGGAACCCATGAGGGGCAACAACAGCAGTAGGTGAATAACAATTACTGGTCTGTGATGATATCCATAGACTTTGTTTTGAATCATTTTTACTCCTTTCATATATTTTCATCTTTCCTAAAAAATAAATGAGCATTTCTTTGGTAATTAACTAGGGTGTGTTAACTTTTTTTGTTTCATCCTCAGCACCTAGTAGAGTGACAGATTCCAACTGAGAGTTGGTAAAGGTTTTTTAGCTTAATACACACTCAAGCACTTTATATTATTTGGGGCGGAGGAGGAAAAAGGCTCGCATAACAAAAATTATCACATTGAGATATGCAGTGGAGAGTAAATTAAGAAGGCCTGGCTCTCTCCATGTGTAAGAGCAGGGACAGCAAAGTATGGAAGTACATTGACTGCTAATTGTTCCTGCCCATAAGACAGAGCATCTCTTAAATGCCTTTTCCTTTCTCTTGATTTTCATAAGAAATCACGGCCTTGGGGACAAGGACCGCATTAGAACTAATTGCTGACATTACTTCCTCTTTCTGAGTCTATGATAGGATTTCACTTTTTCACATGGCCCTGTGGCTTGTTTGGGCCAATCAAATGTGAGCAGAAGTGGTATGTATCATTTCCAGGGGGAAATCTGTAAAAGCTGGTATCAGATTCACCATATTCTGTTTTCTCTGCCTTGATGCCAGTGATGATCTTAAGATGATGGCTTCATCAATCTGCGTCCATGAGTAAAAGTGATAAGGAGTAAAGTTTTCCAGTGACTGAAGATGGACAGGAAGATCAAGAGATATACCTTTGTTGTTTTAAGATACTGAGATTTGGGGCATGACCTTGACCTGCTTGATTTTATAGGCCAATCACCTGAAGTGGTCATTTTCCTCCTATTTCAACAAGAGGGTCTAAGTGGGCTAAAACCATTAGGAAGTGATTATGGCTAGCATGAAAAATAGATATTTTAGTGGGAGAATGAGATTATGCTGCGCTTTACAATTCTGAAAAGCATTTTTGCATAGGTTATTTCATTTCTTCTCTCTTGTGATCTTGGAAAGTCATCAGATTTCTACCTCTCCCTTCTGGACCAATACTCCTTGGTCAATCGGCTGCTCTCCCTGACCATCCCACTTCTAATGTGCCCCTAATTTAGCACTTAGTACAGTGTACTGCAATTTTAAAATATAATCTGTCTTCCTAAGAAACTGTGTTCTCTTCATTTTTGTGTACCTTCTCTCCAACTAACACCCATGCCTCCCTGTTTCATACTCATGACAAGAGCTTCATAAATGCTCACTTGAAGAAGCTGAGAAGTGGCAGGTCCAAAGTTACAAGTAGCAATCAAGATTCAAATCTAAGACTTCCTACTCAACATTCTAGTGACTTAACTATCATTTACTTAGCACCAAGGAAAAGAGCTCTGACCTCTGGATACTGACCTTGATGTTGCTATGAGCTCCTCCGGACCATCACCTTCTGTGGACTAAAAAAAGATTTCACAGAATAACATCAAAGCCATTCAATCACCATGGTCAAGACAAAAACAAGACCACTCCACAATCTTGTCTGAACACAGATCAGGAACATTGCTTAAACTACAAAAATGACCAAAACTGTCTACTACAAGCTGCTTCTTCATCAGTTATGGCTTTAACCTCCAACTAGCGTTCACTACTTCTTACTAAGGATTAAAGATACCCAATCACAGAATCATCCCCAGGTCTTGACACCATCCAATACAGTGCCAGGCTTCGCCTTCTTGAACGCTTTCCACGGTCGCATAAGCCCAAATTCCGTAACCAATTCTAACACCGTTACTGAGATACCCCATTGTTCCCCATTACACCTGCCTTCTCCTCACCAGAACTAATCGAACTTCAAGTGTGTTCTGGTGGGCTTGTTGGAAGACATGCCCAGTCCCTCCCTTGCTCCAGGGCTATGCTGTACACACACATGTTGAGGGTTTCATCAGAAACCCTCATTAGGTGTGGGATTGTGATGCCCACTTGATAAAGAAATGGAGGTCCAAGGACATGAAATAATTTGCGCCAGCTCACACCACCTGGAAGAACCAGAGACCATATTTCAGACCCTTTGCGAGGAGCACTCTCTTTCCCCCACCCTCCATGGAAGCTCCCCATCTTCTACGTTTCTTAGGGTACTTGCCCTGCGACCCGGATGCTACGGGGAACTGCACCCCAAACATGTTACTTTTGCAACTGGTCTGTGTGAAAAACGATATCCCGGCCCAGAGGCGTTTTCCCACTGCAGAGCCCTGGAGGGAGCCGCTGTAGCGGCCCAGCTGCCAGCAGCCGGGAGCCGGCAGCGGGGAGACTCGGGATCAGCCTGGGCCTCTGGGGGCGGGCTCACGAGAGTGACGTGGAGCGGACCAATCCCCGCGAGGGCGCCAGCTACGGGGCCCAATAGCAGGAGAGCCTGGCGGGACAGTGACAGCAACGCCGGCAGCAACGCCGACACCCCAGCGGCCCCGCCTTGACGGCGGGCGGTGGTGTTCGGCGGGCGGGGGCAAGTCTCTACGGAGCACGGGACCGGCTGCGGACCCACAGACCCACCCGCCGGCCCCCGGACAGACTGAGGACGACGCGGAGAGCAGCCGCCGGTGCCTCCCGCAGCTCCCTGGGACCGAGTCCGCAGGGCCACCGAGGAGCCGAGCGACGGCTGCGCAGAGAACTGTCGCCGAGGCCACTCTGGACGCAGGAGTGCGCTTTCAGTGGTTTGCTTTAGAATGGGAGCTTGAGTTTCCCGACAGGTGCATTTGGTCGAATTCAACGGAAATTCCCCTCCCCGTCCCTGCGCTGCGGTGCCGATCCGGCCCCCAACCCAGACAGCGGTCAGTGTCCCCGGGGCGTCCCGGGCTGCCTCGGCCTTGGGAGCATTTGCTGCTGGGGGGTGCCCTGGGAGCACAGAACACCCCCCAAAGAGAAGACAACCCCAGAGAGCCCGGGCCCCCAAAATGACCGGACCCACTTCTAACCTGGCAGGAAGACTGTAACCGTGGGGTGAGTTTAAACGAGAGGGAAAAAATCCCTTTACGATTGAGAGCTGCTTTTTAAAGGCCCCCTTCCTGTCCTGTTAACGAGCAGCAAAATAATAATAACAGTTGCGCAACTGTCGTGATCTCAGAGGAACCTCGCTGTTTCCCTTATGAAAACCGGCTGGCAGTATACAATGTGGGGACTGTAGTGAGATTATTCCAAACGAAAATGAGTGGCAACTTATTAAAACTATTTTAAGGTGGCATGAGTCCTAAAAGGTCATAACTCTTAAAAATAGTACGACAGTCTGAGGTTTACTGCTGCCCTATTCCAAAGTAAAAATTAATCTCTTAGGAAGTGCTTACTGCTTTCTGCTCCCTAGTTTGCCTGTTTACTCCACAAAATTCCTCTAACATCTCCGTTCTTTTTCATAGAATTCAGCTACCTACCCAGGCAATATGAAGATCTTCTTTGTAGAACCTGCCATTTGCCTTAGTGCGTTTGCTATGACTTTGACCTCTCCACTGACAACACAGTATGTGTATAGGAGAATATGGGAAGATACAGGCAACTACAGTTTTGTATCTGATAGCAATACTTCTGAGTGTGGAAAAAACAAAAGCAGCCCCATTTTCGCATTCCAGGAGGTAAGAAATTAAGCTATCCCTGAAGTGTAATAAAAGGGAAATGTGTAATGGGGTTTTCAGTGAAAGAGGGCATTGCATCATCATTCGTTGATCTCTCAAGAGTCATCTCAAAACTCTAAAATCCCAAGTCAAGCGCCTTTATTCAGTTCTCCTGTTTGAAGTTTCATGACACCTTGAATCTGCTTCTTCTAAGTAAAACCCCCTTCTTCTGTGACATCGGCTGTTTTCTGAGAAAATTTCATCCTAATCTCATCTCCCCAGTGGCTGTCCCCTTTCTCCTTCCACCCCACCCCCACCCCCAAAAAGCCTGAAGGTTGGACCAAGGCCAGCTGGAAGGAGTACTGGTTGGCCTCAGTGGAGTCAAACAGGGTGCTTCTGCTTTTCCTCTTCTACTGCATGTACATGACCCAGTTTTCAATGACCCCCGGAATGTAGCCCATCACTGAACACTGTGGGCCCTGGGGCCAGTGTCCATCATGGTCTGGTCAGGAGGCAGCATATGTCATTCCTCATTTACTGTTACCAGATCAGCTCTGACTCTCAAATGTTGAGAATGAGGTTATCTGTGGAGGAGAGCACTCACTTTGGTGCTGAGGGCACTGAAAATGTTTAGCCAGATATTACAGAGCCTTTCCTTCTGCCTCTCTAGCCTCCTCCCCCAAATTTTTATTTAAAACAGAAGGTACATCGCCATTCTCCTGCTCCCTCAGACAAGTTTTTATCAAAGTCTGCCAGTGTTCAGATGCAAAGGCGATGCATTCAGATTTGGAATTTTCCCCCTCAGAAAGCCTTAAAAGCAAACCACACTTAAAACGTTGAACTGTTCCCCTAGAGGATATTTAGTAATGGCAAAAGAGAGCCTTCCCAAATCAAAGGACAAGAAGAATTTAAGGGAATTCAGATCACCTGCCAGCTGGCCCCAAGATTTTCTCCTCAGCAGAAGAGAATTCCGGTGTGACTGGAAGGTGAGTCTGACACCTGGAAAAAGTGGCAAAGGGCCCAGAAGGAAGGCTCTAGCATTTCCGGAGGTGTTCCCCAAGGTGTCAGGTATAACCTCACTGGGCTGAGGCCTGGCTGTTTGGCACAACTTCTGCTGTTCCTCATTTTCTCCTTTCCATGGGAGAAATTTTCTTGGAACTGATAATTACTGGGAAGCCATGCAGACATCAAGGTTCTGGCCTAAAGTGAGGTCATAGAAATGGAAGGGCCAAGGGTCTTACCTCATGGTTTTGTCTCCTGACTTCAAGAATGTTTATCATTCCCAGGGAGTGAAAAGGTTCAAAAGTCTCATCAGTTTCTATATTGGATTCTGTGCTTTCCTCCAACAGATACCCAGGAGCAATGGGAGGGACAAAGGGGAAGAGGACATGAATGTCTGGAAAAAATCTCCCATCCTTGCCCTCCTAGAGTAAATGGAGACAGGCTGTGGTTCAATCACCTTGGTGGCCTCTGTGACTGTGCAGGTCACATGACTATTGGGCCCTGCTGGCCTTACCTAGTTGCTGAGAGCACCCCCCCCACCTCACTGCCCAGAGCAGTGGTCTCATCTTGAAGATTTTTGCTGATGTTTAAGTTGATTGTTATTTTATTAATTGTTTTTTAATTAGACTAGTATTCAAGAGAACATACTGCTCTAGGTCCCCTCCCTTAAAGTCAGTGCTCTAGAGCTACAAGTGCTTTTTCTTAGACTGGGGAGCTAAAAAGCACCACTGTCTCCACCCATAACCAAGACAGGTCAGGTGGGCCACTCACCATTAGCTCCTTCAGGAAGGAGGAACACTTCTGCTTCCCAGGAGGCATCACCATCACCTTCAGCACTTCCTTCTGGCCCCTCTTCTGGACCCTGCTCCTGCTCAGTATAAGAATATTCTCTTACCTCAGGCAGCTGGGTGGCTCAGTCAGTTAAGCATCTGCTTTGGGCTCAGGTCATGATCTCAGGGTCCTGGGATCCAGCCCTTGCTCAGCGGGAAGTCTGCTTCTCCCTCTCCCTCCGCCCCCCACTTGTGTTCTCTCTCTCTCAAATAAATAAATAAAACCTTAAAAAAGAAAAGGTTATTCTTTTACCTTTAAATCCAAGGACAAATGCTCCCTGTTTTATGAGTGTCCTTCTCAATTCCCAGCTCTGCTTGGTGGGTGCTGACCACTTGCTGACTAAAAGAAGTTTAGGAGTTTGAGAACTGTTCTTATAACCCTAAAAACAAAATTTCATAATACAGGGTCAGGCCCTAATAAAATAAATAAATGATTTTTTGGGGGGGTTCAGGTTTTTCTTTGCCACTCCCCCAAAAGACCAATTACTTAGAAGAAGAGTGCATAACACAATAATGTATTGAACTTCTTACTGTTATATCGTTATTTATCCTTCTATAAAACAAATATACACATGGACACATGTATTGGAATGCAAGATAATAATATACATTTCAGGGTTCAGATATAAGAATAAACTGGGCTATTTCACTTAACATTTTTTTTTAAAGATTTTATTTATTTGACAGACAGAGATCACAGGTAGGCAGAGAGGCAGGCAGAGAGAGATGGGGAGGCAGGTTCCCTGCTGAGCACAGAGCCCGATGCGGGGCTTGATCCCAGGACCCTGGGACCATGACCCGAGCTGAAGGCAGAGGCTTAACCCACTGAGCCACCCAGGCGCCCCATTTCACTTAACATTTTGAAAGTCTGTATGAATAGAAGTTTTATTTTTCAATCCATTGGGATTGAGATATAGATAGATAGATAGATAGATAGATACACTCACACACATACATATCCATATAAATATTGATCTAATCTATTTTTCAAAACTTTGAGTTTTCTGAGTCTTGCGACTATAAGGTGCACCCACATACTTCTCTTGGGTAAGATTAGTCTCTAAAGGATGTCTTAACAAAATGGCAAGGCTCTGGGAAGGAAATTCTTGGCTGAGGGAGAAGAGGTAGGGATTCTAGGCATGTTTGTTGACTTTTGCAGAGGAAGGAATTTTTAAGCCCCTTCCCAGATTAACTGACTGGTTTTGAGGTATTAAATTGACCATTGTGGTCTGTTCTCTTCAGGTACTCTCAAGATAGGGACGCTGCTATTTGAGGGGACAAGTTGGCATTAACTAGATCATGAAGTTGTTCTTGTTCAGTAATTTATTTATAAACCTTTTTTTTTTAAAGAATTTTTTTTAAGATTTTATTTATTTATTTGACAGATAGAGATCACAAGTAGGCAGAGAAGCAGGCAGAGAGAGAGGAAGCAGGCTCCCCACTGAGCAAAGAGCCTGATGCGGGGCTCGATCCCAGGACCCCGGGATCATGACCTGAGCCGAAGGCAGAGGCTTTAACCCACTGAGCCACCCAGGTGCCCCTATTTATAAACCTTTTAATAACTAACACAATCCCTTATTACCAGCAGATAGGGAATATTTTCTACTCAATTGTAATTACACATTTTAGCCTATGAAATTGTGACTTTTTAAAAACTGATACTCCTTTCCTTATGTTATACCTGTCTCTATCTTGTCATTCCGTTCAATCTTGACAGGAAATAGCACTTCTTACTCTGATTTCTCTCATCTACCCTTATCTAATATATAATTATTGTTCTCCAGAGTTTAAGAGGTATCATTTGCAGACAGGAGACAGAAGCCAGGATGTGGGGGAGGGGTGGAAATGGGAGGAGGAATCCCAAACTGGAACATCTTATTGACAAGTTTATTAAAGATAACCATTTCATTTACTTCTTTATTCAGTAAGTATTTACTCGATGGCTTTTATATCCGTAGAGACACAGAGTGCTCAGGAAGCCTGACCTAGTAAAAATGAAAACAGCCGAAGTTGATGAAGCACTAACGAACGTGCAATAGATCTGGGCCGTGTGCCTTATATTGACATAGTCACTCGAAGTGTAACTCTCAGGAGAGCCTGCAAGATAGGGACTCTGGTTACCACTCTTGTCAGATGAAGCTATCGGGATGAATGATTTGGTCAGGATCACACACAGCTAGCGAATCGCAAGGCCCATTTTACTTGCTTATTCATGTATCCATGCACCCAGTACCTAGGGCGCGCTCTGTGAAGCACTGCTGTTGGAATGGTGATACTGTGGTGAAGAAGACAGGGTTCCAGTCCTCCTGAAGCTTAGATTGTAGTGGAAAGGGCACCCAGTGAGCAGTTCAATGAAAGGAACTCGTCCTGTTGAGGGGTGGCAAGTCTCTAAAGAAAATACAGCCAGACAAGCTCACAGAGCGCTGGGTGAGGGTTAGTGTGGTTGCTCTGAATTGTGTGATTAGTCAGAAGGCTTCTGAGGAGGTGGCATTTGAATTGAGGAAGTGAGCTGTGTGACCAGCAGGCAGAGGGAACAGCAGGCACAAAGGCGAATAGCATGGGAGGTTTGAGGGATGGCATGTGGCTCAGGTGAGCGAGGAAGTGGAGATGAAATCAGAGAAGTCATGATGTCTGGCCACCCACACCATGGCAAGGAATTCGGATTTATTCTCGCATAAGGAAAGCCACTGGGGGATTTTGAGAAGAGGAGTGACATGGGCTGATTGTTTTTAAGGATCACTCTAATGTGATCTATGTGAAGAACTGATGACATCTGAATCTAGATTGATCTGACTCCAGAGCTCTTAATCCTTACGCCAAAGAGTGTAACTGGGAAATGGTAATTGCCATCCGAGAAGGTTCAACAGAAGGAGAGATTACATCTGTTTGGGCATTTCAGGGAAATCCAGGTGGGACTTGACTATGGACTGTGCCTGTAACATAGGGTACTGGGGGAGTGAGTGGAGATAATGCAAAAGAGTGGGGTTGGACCACATCTCGGTGGTCTAATGTAACAGACGAGGAATGTGAACTTTCTCCAGCAGGCTGTGGGCTGAGCAGTTCAGAGACATGCTGCTGGTGTGTTTTGGCATGACATTCCCACCATTAGCGTGTATGAGGTGCGAAGTGAGGAGGCTGGCATCACAGACTGCACTGAGGAGAGAGCCAGCTAGATGCTGGGGTGAAAACTATGAGCCCTGCCCTTCCAGGGGCAGCTCTCAGACTGTGAAGAGGTAAAGGACGTGAGAAGCACGGGGTGTTGGTGGCCCTGGGTGAAGGGAAAGGCCAGAAACAATGATGACTGAAGTTTTGAGTCTGAGTGACAGAACATTCCCTGACCGTATGAAATTGCTTGCATTGTTTGACTATATAAAAATAAACGCAGGCTCACTCTTTAAAAAGAAAAAATCATTAATTTTAGTATTTGATATTTTTGTGGTTCATCAGCTGTTTTAGGGTGCTTTCTAAATATTACATGAATCTATTTTTAAAAATGAGTTTAGTAATCCCTAGTAGAAAAATGACATACTCTTTATATAAAATTTGGAGGATACAGAGAAAAGTGGCAAATAGGACATGCTTTTAAACCACCCAAAATTCTTCCCACCAAATAACTAGCATAATGATTATAATGTCTTTCAGTCTGTGTGTGTAGCTGGTGGCTTTGGTCTTCGGCAGAGTCAGGTTTATCTTACTCCTCAGTTCAGTTCATGGCATGCTACCATCTTTAGTCAGTGCAAAGCTGCTCTTTTGGTTTTATCTTATTTTTTAATAAGTAAAGAAATAGATTAGAAGAAACTTATTTGTGGAGACACATAAGAACAAAGCAACCAAGTGCTTCCTAAATAAAGGTCTATCAAATATGATATTTATATGTGACATTCATTCGCCTTTAAGTAGACAGAAAAATCTATCACAGGAAAGGGTATGCTCTTGCTTTCAGCAGTGTGCATGATCTCAGTGCTAAGCTCTTTAGAGAAGACAGAAAAATCATTATAAGACTGTCCCGGATGTATTAGGGTCTGTGGATCTCCTATATAAGACAGACACACACCAGTGCACAATTTTCTGTTTGTGAGTTCAAGTCCCCACCATGGTACTTGAATATGACGCCTGAGCTTTGATTACTGTATTGCCTCTTGATATTTGCTTTGTGAACTGGATGAAGATTCAGGCTGTATCAAACCCACGCTCCTTATTGGTGACCTACTGGAAATGTAAAGAAAAATATGCACTGTAATATTTCTGTGAATTTGTCTATATTTCTGTAAACACATTGTCTTCTTTTTTGTCTCTTTGCAGGAAGTTCAGAAGAAAGTGTCTCTTTTCAATCTGCAGATGGACATAAGTGGATTATTTCCTGGTCTGGTGTCTACGTTCATACTTCTGTCTCATAGTGATCATCGAGGACGAAAATTCCCTTTGATTTTGTCTTCTGTTGGTGCTCTCGCAACCAGTATTTGGCTCTGTTTGCTTTCCTATTTTGCTTTTCCATTCCAGCTTCTGATTGCATCTACCTTCATTGGTGCCCTTTGTGGCAATTACACCACATTTTTAGGAGCCTGTTTTGCCTACATAGTTGATCAATGTACAGAACAGAAACAAAGAACAATTCGAATAGCTATAATCGACTTCATACTTGGACTTGTCACTGGATTGACGGGACTGTCTTCTGGCTATTTTATCAGAGAATTGGGTTTCGTGTGGTCCTTTTTAATCATTGCTATGGCTCTTACTGTTAACTTGATTTATATTTCATTTTTTCTTGGTGATTCAGTGAAAGAATCTTCATCTCAGAATGTTTCCATGTCATGTAGTGAAGGCTTTAAAGACCTATTTTACCGAACTTCCATGCTTTTTAAAAATGCTTCTGGTAAGCGACGGTATTTTCTCTGTTTGTTACTTTTTACAATGATGACTTACTTTTTTGTGGTAATTGGTGTTTCCCCCATCTTTATCCTTTATGAATTGGATTCACCACTCTGCTGGAATGAAGTTTTTATAGGTTATGGATCAGCTTTGGGTAGCGTCACATTTTTTAGTAGTTTCCTAGGAATATGGCTTTTTTCTTACTGTATGGAAGACATTCACATGACCTTCATTGGAATCTTTACCACCATGGGAGGAATGGTTATGACTGCTTTTGCCAAAACAACATTGATGATGTTTTTAGGTAAGTCACAAATGTAGCCTTAGAACTTACCATGTATTTATGTTTATACCAAATGAATTTAATCTGTTGGGTGATACACTTTCAATATAAAATTCTCGAACACATTCTAGTTCAAGTAAGGCATTTTGTTAAAAGCCACTTTGCCTGAAAGTGAAAGCCAATTTGCTTTTTAAAAAAGCAATTCACTGAATAACCACAATTTCCCAAATTTGCATACTTGCCAAAAAATTCTTTTTGAGGAACATTCTTCTTGTGAGTCAATTCTTTAAAAGAGCTTTCACCAACTTGAATATTTCTTGAAATGCTGAAGGTTGGGGCACTTGGGTGGCTCAGACGGTTGAGCATCCAACTCTTGATTTTGGCCCAGGTCATGATCTCAGATTCATGAGATGGAGTCCCACATCAGGCTGTCCGCTAAGCAAGGAGTCTGCTTGAGATTATCTCTTTCCCTCCCCACACCCGCCCCTCTCCCTCTCTTAAAAAAAAAAAAAAAAAAAAAATGCTGCTAAAAAAGCTACTTTCCATAAAAATTTGAAAAAGCATTATATAAAGTAGATTCAAAAGGTTTGTAAGATTCATGTGTATTGAATATATTCAAGAAAATTCTTTAAAGACAAGATTTTGCAAATTGGTCATTTCATGAATTGCCTTTTGATAAATCCCTTTTTGCCAAATTAGGCTGCTCCCTTAACTAACTGTTCCGTAAGTGGCTTCTGTAGGCCTTGAGTGAGGCCTTCTTGCGTTTGAAAGAGCTAAGGGATCTATAAAGTGGGACGTAGAGAAAGGTCCAATTCCATCTTTTTCTACAAAGGCACTATCAACCTCTTACTACCTTGCAGGGAAGCAGGGTGACCAAATAGAATTGGGCTTAATATCCATTTATAGTACCAGGTGATCTGGGCAAGTTACTTAATACTCTGGGCCCTCATTTACTCATCTGTAATATGGGCACAGTAGCACAGAATTCACCAGGTTATAATGAATATTAGATCACTGTAAAGCACTTAGCACAATGCCTTGTATTCAGTAAATGTCAGTTCTCCCTGTCTCCCTTAGAGTTTCCAAGACCAAGTAAGTTGATCTATGTGAAAGCACATTGAAAATTATAGAGTCATCAGCAAAAATAATATATTGCTATTTTAGCATATAACTAGAGATGCTATTGACTATTAGGGGCCCATAATGTAGGAGGAGAGGCAATCTGTGTTCATGAAATTATTCCACACAAAGATGAAGAAGCAGAAAGATAAAGAACAAATTTACCAATACGTGCATCAAATTAATAAAAGAATGTGGAGGAATGCCAAGTCTGAAAAAGGAGAAACAGAAAACAAATGTGCAAAACTAAGTCACACCTCGATAAATGAGAGTTTGCTACAGTAATCAGGGAAATAGCAGATCAGTCCCAGCTGGCAGATTATATAGATTTGGACCTCAAACCTCCCTGAACTCTTGTTCTGAGCACTGAACTAAGAGGGTAAACGAAACTTGGACTGGCCTGTCTACAGGGTACCTGTATATTCATTAAACAGAAGTCCGTAATTAGTTACTTCAGTCCTTAGGTGCAGTGAGTTAGGATGCTTAGAGAGAAAACATTTCACATCGAAAACTGACCACTGGTTTTCGAATTTAGCCTGTGATTTCCCACCATTTCTCTTACAGTGAGGCTGCCGTTCCTTTTCACTATCGTGCCACTCTCTGTTCTACGCTCCATGGTATCGAAAGCAGTTCGTTCCACTGAACAAGGTGAGTTTAATTTGCCAAAGGAAAATCATGAATTTACAATCTGTACCAACTCAAATCTATGTATGACCTTTGTTTGGTTCTTCAGAATATTCTACAGCCCTTTTCCTGCTCAGAACTCCTTTAGAACTAAGTGGTAAGTTCTGTGTTTGGAAGAGGTTTATATTCAGGCAGGGTTGCCCCTGGCCCGGGTCTCCTGCTTTGGAGGGCTTGCTGTGGCCAGACCCTGCCCCAAGAAGAGAGGAGTGCTCAGAGCTAGGCAGATGCTGACTGGGAGCCCACCACACCTACCCCTTCCATACTACGTTTTGGGTACCAGGACCCCTTTAATTCTCAGCCAGATAGCCCTGGGTTCATGTCTGTGAGGGCCTGGATGGTGCTCTTCCTGACTCTTTTGCCTAAAGGTGGAGTGACCCCATTGTGCTCCCCCTTTAGACCACAGGGGTTGCCTCTATGGGTTTGCTCAACCCCAGGACCCTGTGAGATCATGACCTGGACTGAAGGCAGAGGCTTAACCCACTGAGCCACCTAGGTGCTCCCCAAAATGGGATATTTTCGTGAAATGTTATGTACTTTAAAGTAATCAGAGAGGGGAAATACTGCATAGGGTTTCACTAGCCTCTCACTATCCCTATTACCTTGAATAAGAAAGGAGAGAAAACTAGATTTGGGTAATTATTTTGCAGTCTCTGTGCTCTGTACAGCTGTGAAGCTCCCAGCTAAAGCCACCCCGGATGACCTCTTATCTGGTCACTACCTGCACACTCCTTGTGATTATAAATTGGAACACCATAAAAACAGACTTGACTTTAGAGGTCTATTGAATTTTTTAAAATAAACTAACCTGCACTTATTATTTAATCCAGTTTATCTATGGCTACTGTTAGACAAGTTGAACTGCTTGTAGAAGTTAAGCAACAAGCAAACCCTACTTTGTAATAGTGTGGCTGTTTATGCCAGACAGACAACCCACATGACCAACTTCTGTCAAGAATGGATTTAAGCCATTGCATAATAGGACTAGAACAATCCAGTCTGTCTTCCATGGCACTGCGCCTAGCTGTAGCAAGGGATCAGAAATATAAGAAAATAATAACACAGTTAGATAGGGAGGAGTATTTCCTCCCAATTAAACTGAACTTCATGTCTTATCATAAAACATGGAGATAGTATTGTCTTTATGCTACTTGCTGATTGGTAACTGGGCTCTTGAATTAAGCTTTTATTCATTCACTTGACAAATACAGATTAAACAGATCTACCATGTGCCAGGACAGATTGTTTACTGCTGTGTACAACAGTAAACACAGCAGATGCACACTTGACATGAACATAGCTTTCGTTTTAGTTAAGACACATATATGAAAATACAGTGTTCTTCAGAGCTATGTTTATGGTTTTTGAACATGTGACCTGTCATTCAATGAAGAATGAGAAACAACTTATGAGAATATATACTAGGGTAAAAAAAAGCTTAAACAGATAAAAATTAACACAGCACAGTCTACTAGACTGAGACCATGGGGAAAATGAGAACATAGACACGTGAACCATAATCCAGTTATGAAAGGTGATCCTCAAGCTTGCCTTTTCCTTCTTCTCTGTCCAATCAAATACAAGTATTTATGTGATTTGCATTGTTTGTAAGAAAAATACATTACCACTTAACCATGGAGAGGTAAACTTGGCAAAGTGAGGAAGAAGCACAATGGCTTAATCCAAGAGTCTGCAGAAGCTCCACAAGAACGTATCCTGGGGACATCATGGAGAGTGGAAAACTGTCACAGAACTTCGTATCTGGTGATGCTAAATTTCACAAAGAGGAAGAAAGGTACATCCTGTCTAGAGGTTTAATTGCTTGGTCAATGTGGTCTTGGATTCCAGACAAAACTAAAATTCGGTAGAATGAATGAGCCCTTTTTTATGATTATGAGCCTGGACTAGCCATGCAGCCACACTGTGCTTCTCGAATAATGTTCCAGGGCCTATTGCCCTCTCCAAAACGTGGGTAGAGCAAGCATGACAGACAGCAGCGTCCTCCCCACTCAGTCTTGCCAGCCACTTCCGAATGGAGGCGGTTTCAAGCAGTGAAGGCAGAAAAGAATCATGCAGCATCCAACCATGGCATAATGAGAGCACAGAAACTTACTTGAAGAGTCATGCAGAGGAATCTTGTGGACTGGATTTGTTGTCACTTTGAGGGGAGGGCTCAAATTCAAACTGCAGAACCTATATGCAATCATCTGTCTTTGTGCAGCTGTCACTTTTGCCAGATCTGAGAAGCAGATGAAAAGGATTGCTTTAACTTTCAAAGATTTTTTTTTTATTTGTTAGAGAGAGAGAGAGAGAGAGCATGAGCACAGGCAGACAGAGTGGCAGGCAGAGGCAGAGGGAGAAGCAGGCTCCCCGCTGAGCAAGGAGCCCGATGTGGGACTCGATCCCAGGACGCTGGGATCATGACCTGAACCAAAGGCAGCCGCTTAACCAACTGAGCCACCCAGGCGTCCCAGGATTGCTTTAACTTTCAAAAGGCCCCAGGGTGGGACCTTTACTGGTGGGAGCCACCTGAGCATACCTATACGAGCGTGTCACAGATGTCCCCAGCTTAGGGAAAGAGTGGGAGATAATCTTGAAGGACAATGGTAGCTGTGGCTATGTGTGTGGCTGTGTAGGGAGAGAAGACTGTGGATTTCAAATGGGTCAGCTGCTGTTGCCTCTTAACTTTGCCCTACTGACTCCAAACTGTTGTGTTTTCAATATCCTCACATCCTCATATCAGGTCAAGGAGTACTGGTGACCTCAGTTTCTTCACCTACAAAATGGGTTACCAGCTTCTTGGGGATTTAGAAAGTATAGCTTTAGCTCACCAAGCAGTGCCCCACGTTTGCTTTTTTCAAGGAGGAACAATTTTTTTTCTTTTTTTTTTTTAAAGGTTTTATTTATTTGACAGACAGAGATCACAAATAGGCAGAGAGAGAGGCTGAGAGAGAGGAGGAAGCAGGTCCCCTGCTGAGCAGAGAGCCCAATGTGGGGCTCAATCCCAGGACCCTGGGATCATGACCTGAGCCGAAGACAGAGGCTTTAACCCACTGAGCCACCCAGGCGTCCCAAGGAATAACAATTTTCTCCCTCATTTTGTTTATTGTTTTGTTACTCAGTCTTTTCCTTTTCTCCCTCCACACCCCAACTCCAAACAGGCACCCTGTTTGCTTGCATTGCTTTCTTGGAAACACTTGGTGGAGTCGCTGCAGTTTCTACTTTTAATGGAATTTATTCAGCCACAGTTGCTTGGTACCCAGGCTTCACCTTTCTACTGTCTGCTGTTCTGTTATTAATTCCAGCCATCAGTCTATGGTATGTAATTATTTCTAATCATTTTATCAAAGGATAGGCGGATTAAGTGAATTCCCTAACCTCAAATTACATAAACTGTTAAAGTTGTTAAAAAACAAAATTAAAAATTCAAATGAGTAACCTTTTTTTAAAATTTATTTTTGTTTTAGAGAGAGAGTGAGTGGGTGGGGAGGGTCAGAGGGAGAGAGAGCCTTAAGCAGGCTCCATGCTCAATGTGGAGCCAGATGTGGGGCTGACTCTCACAACCCTGAGATCATGACCTGAGCAAGAACAAGGGTTGGATGCTTAACCGACTGAGCCAGCCAGGCACTCCAACTGAGTGACTTTTTTTTTTTTTTTTTTTTTTTTTTTGACAGACAGAGATCACAAGGAGGCAGAGAGGCAGGCAGAGAGAGAGAGAGAAGGAAGCAGGCTCCCCGCCAAGCAGAGAGCCCAATGTGGGGCTCGATCCCAGGACCCTGGGATCATGACCTGAGCCGAAAGCAGAGGCTTTAACCCACTGAGCCACCCAGGTGCCCCTCAACTGAGTGACTTTTAAAGATCTAATTGGCTCTACTAATTGATTGAATTAGGCAGCATCCCATTTAGCAAGCAGAGGGGAGCTCTGCGGAGCTGTGCTGAGCAGAAGGTTTTCACAGAATGGAGGGTGGATCAAGAAGTTATTAGTAAAAGAGCAGAAACAATTGTTTCAGGCAAAATCACCTTCCCTTAAGGAGAAGAGCAGGGGGTCTTATCAGGTGGATGACCCAGTCTTCCTTTGGGGGATGGAGAGAGCTTATGTGGCAGGGCTGATCAGAAAACTCTTGCCTGAGTAGTGAAGATTCTGTTTCTGGGGGAGGCTGGAACTGCAGTTAAGTTACATTTTCAGTCCAGGTTTGATAACTTGGCCTACCTGATGCCATTTTGGGCCTGTGGTTTTCTTTTTAACAAAGTTTTGCCTCAGAATGTACTTTTCTCAATAACTTTTAGACATGAAGACATCTATTGATAATGGAAACCTGAGAAGAAAGAGACAAATGACAAGGCTGACCAGAACTAGGAGAAAGAAAGATTGGGTCAAACTATAAATAGCTACCCCATCTCTTTAAATATGAACAACTGATTAAATTAGCAACCAAGAATACATACGTGTATATATATATATATATATATTTAGAGAGAGAGTCAAACTATGATTTCCTAGAGTATAATATCCTCTGAGGGTCAAAGATTACTATAAGACAAACTTTAATATGAAGTCTTGGGTTGATGACAAGAGCAAGTAGTGTACACTGAATATCGGGAATTTTCTTTCCAGAGAGTTGGCTTATTTAATGACTCCCTTTTTAAAGGTAAATACCCAAATAAATACAAAATACTAAATTTTATTTATGAATAGTACATAGAATAAGAAGACCAAAGTCATACACGTAAGAGAAATACTTATATCTCCCTTTGCCTTTTGGTTAATGAGAAGTATGATCTAACTAGGTTAAGTGTTTGCTAAAATGCCCAGGCATCAGAGTCAGCACATTCTGTGGGGCCAGCACATTGAGCTGAGAGTACACTACCTTTTCTTTGCTGGGCTTTGCCCATTCCACGTGGCTAAGAGCATAGCGCAGTGATGGGAGTCAGTAGCAAGTGGGGCACAAAAGGCATCTCTGCTTTCTTCTGAGCACTGGGGTGGGCTGGGGTGGGGTGAATAAGGGTGAAAAGTGCCAGTGTACCCAGGCCTTACACATTCTGCCAAGACTGTGAACTCCTTAAAGGACTGCCCTACATTTACTCATAGTAGGACCACAATACGTATTATCTCTACTGAATTTTGACCCCTAGATCTGTGTAAGAGTATAATAGTATTTACAGTTCCTCTGTAATTTTGATGAAAAGTTATTTTTACTAGGTATCTTTTTAAAAAAAGACTATTCACCTATTGAACTGGCAAAATTAAAAATACTTGCTGTGCTAATGAGTACACAATGAGACAATCTTACACATTGCTGGTAGTGGTTATTATTTGGCACTATCATTTTTGGAAGGCAATTTGTAAACATGTATCAAAAGCTTTTTTAAAAGTTCAAAGTATTTGACCCAGTGATTCCTTTTAGAAACATATCCTAAGGGAATGGTCAGTAATGTCAAAAACTTATATACAGTTGACCCCTGAACAACAACGCAGGTCTGAACTGCATGGATTCACTTAACATGCAGATTTTTTTCAATATATATAGTACTGTAATGGATTTTTCTCTTACAATTTTCTTAATCACATTTCTCTAGTTTTATTATAAAAATACAGCAATATATATGTTATATAATATATATTATTACATATATAGAGAGAGAGAGACATACCATATATGCATATATATATAGACATACCAAATACATGTTAATAGACTGCTTTATGTTACTGGTAAAGCTTCCAGTCAATAGAAGGCTATTAGTAGTTAAGTTTTTAGGAAGTCAACAGTGATATGAATTGCATGGTCACCCCAACCCCTGCATTGTGCAAGGGTCAACTGGTATAAAAATGTTCATTAAGACAAAAAAAATTTTTTTAATGACCAAAATGAGAATGATTAAATAAATGATGGTGCATCCATAGCATGAAAAAACATTAGTAAGAATTGGGGAGTAGAAAAATGGGTAATTTTAATTTTATTCTTCATATATTTATACATATCTGTTATGAACACATATGCAGCTAGCTAAAAGATAGTTATCCTTTTAATACTGTTTTTAAAGTAAATGTAGATGGTCTTCTGAGATTTTTTTAACCCAATACTGTTCAATATTTTTAAAAATAAAATTATATGCAGGGCTCCTGGGTGGCTCAGTCAGTTGGGCATCTGTCTTCAGCTCTAGTCATGATCTCAGGAGATCAAGCCCTGCATCAGGCTCCTCACTCAGCAGGAAGTTGCCTTGTCCCTTTGCCCCTTCAGCCCCCTGCTCGCACTCTCTCGCAAATAAATAAAATCTTTAAAATAAAATTACATGCCTTTTTTTTTTTTTTTAAAGATTTTACTTATTTACTTGAGGGGGTAGGGAGGGCAGAGGGACAGGGAGAGAGAATCCTAAGCAGGCTCTGCACTGAGCACCAAGGCCCGACACAGGGCTCCATCTCACCACCCTTCGATCATGACCAAGATCACGACCTAAGCCAAAACCAAGAGTCAGTCGCTTAACTGAGTCACCCATTCTAGATGTCTTCTTGTCCCAGCTCAGTTACAGGTACTGAATATGAATTTCAGCCATATCTATAGTCATAACTACTTTTTGTGGACTACAGGATAAACAATGGGACAGATGGACATTTTAGGTACCTGAAAGAGAAAAAAACTGTATATTTTTTATTTTCAGAATGCTATGCATAGTGAAGTCAGCTGGACTCAAAATGCCATTACGTTCCATCTACATATAATTTGCATAATTTATCGGAACCCATATAATCAGGGGAAAGATAGAGTATAGGTTATTTATTTATGTACTGCCTTCATCACAATTTTAAAATGTCTTGTTTGCTTTTGCAGTGTGGTCAAATGCACCAGCTGGAATGAAGGAAGCTATGTACTTCTTACAGAAGAGGAATCCAGTGAAGACACTTCAGAGAGATGATTAATTGTGATAAAAAAAAAAAAAAAACAACTGAAAGTACACATCATATACTCTGACTTCTGAGGAATGTAAACTGGTTCCATAATCAATATTTCATAACTAATCAATGTTACATGTCCTTTCTTCTAAGCTGAACAGTGAGAGAACTAGCTCTTGGCTCTAGCTTCTTACAGTATCATGCACTTTGAGCACTCTATGAGTATCATGTGATAGATTTCCATAGAAAGAAGAACAAATCTCAAAACACTTCCCACTTTCGGATTTAGGAAAGAAACTGAAACTTCACAGTATAAAGAGGGATTAAGAAACTTGACACAATCAAAAGCAATAATCTCCTGACATACTCCAGTCTCATGCTGGGACCAAGGAAGGAGAACTAACTCTATACCTCAGTTTCTTCATCTGCAAAATGGGTCTGTGACCTCTTGAAGATTTCAAAGGCTTAACTGTTCAAAATTATGATGAATAATTCACTGACAGGAAAATAATGATGAAACATTCAAATATTTCTAGTACAATCGTACCTCTGCTTGGATAATGCTTTGTTTTCTAGAGCCATCGGGTTGACAGTGAAAGCTCTTAATAGATTCAAAAACCTTAAAATGGAATCACTTTAAATGATACATATTTTCACTTTTCCTAATATGTTTCATCAGCGACAGGCATGATAATAATTAGATAGGTAACACAGGGTCACTGGAAAAAAATCATAAAAAATTGTTTATAAAGAAATGTAAAAGCTGAGTAAACAACCAATCAGGAACTAATATTATAGAGCCAATATTCATTCCTTACTTTTTATCAAAGAATAGCCATTTCTTACTGCCTTAAACTCATCCTGAGACCCACCCTAGCCCCTGAAAACACATTCTTTCATGCCTTCTGTCTTTCTATATGCTGTTCATTTGCCCTTCCTCCCTCGGGACAATGAAACTTGATTCTCAGCCAAAACACTGCTTCCTCTGCATAGTCTTCTTGACACTTCTTCCCTACTCCTGTAGTCCCCCCAACCCCTGCAGGGTGCCCACAGCACTTTCTGTATACTTCATCCTAGCATCTTCCATTGTCTCATAATATTTGTTTTCCCTACTTGAAATGAGCACCTTGAGGACAGGGACAATCTTTGATTCCTCATTTTATTTTTATCCTCAATAAATGTTTGTTGAACTAAATACAAAATTTTGTTTTTACTTGTAAAAATAATTTAAAACTCCATATTTAGTAATGTGTCATGTGACATATTTAATAATGTGTCATGAAAGTAACCACTGGTATCATGCCACAGCCATTAAGCCAGCCTGAAAAATATGCTAGCCTATACACTTTTTAAATTGGTTTATAGTATTTTTACCAGTCCTTCAATGTCTTTTATATTATAAGTTACCATATGTAGTAATGTAAATGCCTTGAAGTACAACTAGATCATTCTTCCTAATCTCTCTTGAACATGGATAGAGTTTTCCATTCAACAGCTCTGCTTACAACTTTTCCTGTAGGGTAATCATGATTGCTGGACTAACCAAGAGCACTCAGTGTAAAATATTATAAATGTTTATTTCCAAGACTATTCCTTTTAAGTCTACCTAATGTCTCTTGGAAGCCCAGGTAAGAACTGAGTGCTTTCTATATATATATATGTATTTTTTTCTTCCTTTCAATGCTCTTTCCACACCAAAAAATACTTTATGGCTTGCAAAGTGTTCCTCTGTATCAACTTACTATATACTCTCTTAATAACTCTGGCAAAGTAGATATTCATTTTCCTCATTTTACAGACAAGGCAGATAAGTCTCCGAGAGACCTGGCCACAGTTATTCAACTACTACTAAGCAGGAGCATCACTCAGAGATGGTCTTGGCCCTGCTGAGATTCTTCATAGCTAAGGTATACATGTTAGAGATTGTAAATCCAACGCAAGGCAGAGTATGAAGTGGCCCCCAACACATCAGCACTACTGTACCCAACTAAACTGCCTATGATATTGCCTTTTTTGTGGTTAGACATGATGGTCTATAAAGTCCCTTTCAGCTCAACTTTCCATGATTTTACACTCTTCATCTAAACTGAAGAGAGTATGGATGGTATTATTTCATACAGTTAAGAGATAAAGAGATGGGTTTGTATTTGGGCAAAAACTATTTGAAATGTGGTAAATCAGGGCATTGGACTGAGATGGCCCAGGGTAAATTTAGAGCATGAAGGAGTTTAGTCATTTCCAAAATACATATCCTAAGATACGGATTAGTAAATGTGATAAGGACTAGAGAAACACATAAGCTGATCAGGGTATATAATCAAGCCAGAAATGAAAAAGAAAAAAATGCCGCCACCAAATTTCCCATAATGTGACCTAATTACCTGATTATCTGAAGGAAGAATTAATTAAATGATTTGTCTCTGTAGAGTCCATATAAAGGGAACAAAGAGGAAAGTCATGTTCCTTTTTATCCAGCACTGTATAAGGGGGGTTAGATATACGATATCTAATAGAAATGAGTACTCCTATCACTACAGAGGGAGTATTTCTATGAGGTTAGACTATTCAATAGGTTCAGTTATACCCCGCATTGCACAGCGTCAAGAAATCCCTTTTCTCTTAAGGAATCGATCCCATTTACAATTGCACCAAAAAAAAAAAAATTGTAAGATACCTAGGAATACACCTAACCAAAAGGTAGAGGATCTGTGCTCTAAAAACTACAAAACACTTACGAAAGAGATGTGTCTTAAAGACACAAAGAAATGGAAAAATGTTCCATGCACATGGACTGTAAGAACAAATATTGTTAAAATGTCTATGCTACCCAGAACATTCTACACAGTCAATGCAATCCCTATCAAAATACCATCAACATTTTTCACAGAGCTGGAACAAATAATCCTAAAATTTATATGGAACCAGAAAAGGCCCTGAATAGCCAGAGGAATGTTGGGGAAAAAAAAACAAAAAAACAAAACTGGTGGCATCACAATTCCAGACTTTAAGCTTTATTACAAAGCTGTAATAAGATGGTATGGTACTGGCACTAAAACAGACACACAGATCAATGGAACAGAATAGAGAACTCAGAAATGGACCCCCAACTCTATGAGCAACTAATCTTTGACAAAGCAGGAAAGAATATCCAACAGAAAATTGGACAATCACATGTAGAAGAATGAAACTGGACCATTTTCTCACACCATACAAAAAGATAAACACACAGTGGATGAAAGACCTAAATGTGAAACAGGAATCCATCAAAATCCTAGAGAACACAGGCAGCAACCTCTGGGACCTCGGCTGCATTAAATTCTTGCTAGACATGTCTCTGAAGGCAAGGGAAACAAAAGCAAAAAGGAACTATTGGGACTTCAAGATAAAAAGCTTTTGCATATCAAAGAAAACAGTTAAAACTAAAAGGCAACCTACAGAAAGGGAGAAGATACATGCAAATGACATATCAGATAAAAGGTTGGTATCCAAGATATATAAAAAACTTATCAAACTCAACACCCAAAAGACAAATAATCCAATCAAGAAATGGACATAAGACATGAACAGACATTTCGCCAAAGAAGACACAAAATGGCCAACAGACACATGAGAAAGTGCTCAACCTCACTTGGCACCAGGGAGATACAAATCAAAACCACAATAAGATACCACCTCACACCAATCAGAATGGCCAAAATTAACAGGTCAGAAAACAACAAATGTTGTTGAGGATCCAGAGAAAGGGGAACCCTCTTCCACTGTTGGTAGGAAGGCAAGCTGGTGTAGCCACTCTGGAAAACAACATGGAGGCTCCTCAAGAAGTTGAAAATAGAGCTACCTTATGACCCAGCAATTATTCTACTGGGTATTTACCCCAAAGATATAAAAGTAGTGATCTGAGGGGGCATCAGCACCCCAATGTTTATAGCAGGAATGTCCCCAATAGCCAAACTATGGAAAGAGCCCAGATATCCATCAACAGATGAATGGATACAGAAGATGTACACACACACACACACACACAGGAATATTACTCAGCCATCAAAAAAATGAAATCTTGCCATTTACATTGACATGGATGGAACTAGAGACTATTATATTGAGCTAAATAAGTCAATCAGAGAAAATAATTATCATACGGTTTCACTCACATGTGGAATATAAGAAATAGTGCAGAGATCAAAGAGGAAGGGAGGGAAAACTGAATGGGAAGAAATCAGAGAGGGAGACAAACCACGAGAGACTATGAGAAACAAACTGATGGTTCCTAGAGAGGAGGTGGGTGGAGGGATGGGCATTAAGGAGGGCATGGGATGTGATAAGCACTAGGTGTTATATGCAACTGATAAATTACTGAACTCTACATCTGAAACTAATGATGTACTATATGTTGGCTAATTGAATTTAAATTTAATCCTCTGGTTATTCAACTTCCAAAAATCCTGCTGATGAGAAGAGGGTATCCTAGGTTCAATTCTCTTTTAATGAAATGCCTGCATTATCAGAATCACCCCAAGGATTTTTTGTTGTTGCTTTTTAAATCCCTGGAAATTCTGATTCAGTCAGTCTGGAGTGAGGAATAGAATCCTCTATTCTAAAAATAGAATCTATTTTTAAAATTGTGCCAGGTGACTGATACACATCCAGATCTGGAAACTACTGCCCTAAATGAGTGCTGCTCAGCCCTATTCTAAATGTACATTAGAATAATCAATGTGGAATGGGCAGTAAAATAAATACAAGTAACAACCCTTTTCAGGGACCAGTGGTTTTCAGTCTTGGCTGCCACAGAGAATCACCTAGGGAGGCTTTAATACTGCCAGTGCCTGGATCCCAGTCCAGGGCAACTAAACTGGAATTTCTAGAAGTGGAGGGAAGACATCAGTATTTTTTCAAATGTTATCCATGTGATTCCAAGATGCGGCCAGGGTTGAGAATGATTCCTCTAGATGAAGGGTCAGCACACTTTTCATGTAAATGGCCAGAGAACAGAGAATAAGTATTTTAGGTTTTATGGGTTATATAGTCCATCACATTACCTACCTGCCAC